TAGAGTTTCTTTTTAAGTTGTGTTTTCTATTTGTTTTATTTTTATTTTATGCTGGCCAAATGGCCGTAATAAAGAACTGAATTGAGTGTGTACTCGGTAAACTCAGGTAAAACTTACCTGATGATAGAGATGACCTTGAAACTGCTACTGAGGGTGTTTGAGATACTTTCCCACAATGCCTTTTTGCTAAATCCGCAGGCATACTTTCACTTGCAAGCAAAGTAGTGCCATTTTCTAATTGAGGATCCTGCCCAAAGACAATGAATAAATGGGATGAATATACTGACAGAACACATTATTAGAAGCTTATGTGCAAAAACTAAAGTTTTTAATCCACTAAAACTCTCCTAAAGTAGTCTGATTTGTTTGTAATACAATACCAAACATCATGCTAATAACACAACTTGTTCTACTTTCCATCTGTTTATTTACATCTATATCTAAGAGAACATTAGAATGTCACTGCCTATTCTTATTAATAATCCTGACAAAATATTCTATTTATTTGACTGAGACAATAAATGTAAGCAAATTGCTGTGTCCCAGAAATGAGAAGCATACTGCAGCATTATGGCAAGAAATTAATAAAAAAAAAATGATCACATTGAGGCAAAAAACAAGACATAATATGGTAATTGTCATATTTATAAAATTTATACTCGTAATACAGTGGGCCTTTTGTATATGTGGGGGATCCGTTCCAGACCCACCTACCTCGCATATGCAAAAAAACACAGAATCTCAAGTCCTGTTGTTGTTAATGGCCACAGGCACACATGCCATTAAAACATGCAAAGCTTGCCATCCGTGTAAGCTTAAAGCCGTGGGTGGCAAGCCCACGTAAGGCACAGGCGCACTATACATGTACAGTTAATATGACCATTTGTGGGAAGTCTGTAAGATTCGGGCAGCTGGGAGAAAAAATGTCACCTGCAAAATAGTTTTGCAAATGTGCCCAGTTTTTTCTAAGCATTTATTATGTCTGCTAACATGCAAACTAATGCCTCCACAACAATCAGGGCTCCCATCTTTAAAACAGGAATGATATTACATTTTGATATTTGATATCTCTGTTACTAGACAAATCTCCTTACAAATGCCGATTTACTTAGAGAACTAAACTAATTTTCTAAATGGTTTCCAAAGCTGACGAAGAACTGCCCATCATACAGACAGTGATGAGGTACAATGGCATTTGCAAGCCAATGAAAAAGGAGAACCACTACTTCTAGAAGCTTCCAGGATCAGCAATTCCCCTCTAAGGGAAGATAGTGGACCCTACTTTTAGCAAAAGCAATAGCAGCTTCATTTATATACTACTTCATACTGTGCTATGCAATCTCTAAGTGGTTTACAATTGTAAGCTAATTGCCCCCAACAAGCTGAGTACTCATTTTAATGACCTTGGAAGGATGCAAAACTGAGTCGAGCTTGAGCCCTGGCTGGTATTGAACTCGCAACCTTGGTATTGAACTCGCAACCTTGTGGTTTGTAAGTGAGTGGCTGCAGTACAGGCATTTAACTAATGCGCCACCAGGGCTCCTTTTAAGTGTGTTTGAGGGTGTAAAAGGTAGCATTTCTAGTATTCTTTTAAAGTGAAAAAAGTTGGGGGGACAGTGTTTCCCACAGCAGATTCCCCAGGGGGCAGAAAGGGGCCCTGGATTCTTCCAAGCTTATCCTGAACTAATGTGATGTAGTGGGCAAAATATTAAGACTTAGAACAAGAAGACCTGGATTCAAGACCTTGCTAATCCATGAAGCTTACTTGGTGGTCTCTCTCAGATTAAACCATCTAGCAAGATAATTATTCCTATTGAGAGCCAGCATGGCATAGTGGTTTGGGTGCTAGACTACAACTCTGAAGACCAGGGTTCGATTCCCCACTTGGCCATGAAACCCACTGGGTAACCTTGGGCATGTCACATGCTCTCAGCCTCAGGGGAAGGCAATGGCAGACCTCCTCTGAACAAATCTTGCCAAGAAAACCCATGATAGGGTCACCATAAGTCGGAAGCAACTTGAAGGAAAATAACATTTTCTACTGTTCCCTCCTTATTAAAATGAGACTTCTTATACCAGTATGTTTCAAGACTAAACAGCATTTCCCTATGAAACACTGTAAATACTAGAGTCCACCACTGTGGTTGCTCCAGGGGCCAATTTTCTGCCCCTAGAATTTCTGGAATCTAGAAGCTGCTCAGAGTGGTAAAACATAAATTGCCTCTGAAGGAGAAGGAATTCAACTGTTTTTATCCAGAAAAGGGGAGTAGGAGGCATTCAAGGGCTGCAAAAACAACCTTGGAGGGCTACATTTTGCTTACCACTGAAATATACAGATGGTGTGACTAAGCTGGTCTAGGTTTCACCAAGGCCATGTAGTCATGTCTATGTTATAACAGTTCAGACTGCAGATGGGAACTCCCATACTTTAATCTTGCACTGCATTAAAAAAAAATGTTTGTTTTCTATGATCAGGGCCTCTTTTGCATGGGAGGAAGCACCAGCTCATACAAGACCAAATTTGAAGTGCAACAAACCAAACTGTTTTAGTGAAAACCTGACCCATCTGATTATTCTTATGTTGCTTACTTTTCTGGAGGCACTGGAATCTCGAGATAACTCTTCTTGCATCAGTAAACTTACCATGCTGTAGTCTACAGTCATGCTGTGTGTACTTAATGCTGGTGACCTTGAACGAAGTGGAGTGGAGGCATTGCTTTGGTTTACAGAACCCACTGCACCTTTCAGGCTACCAGACGTATCCTCCAGACCATTGCTAGCTAGTGAACCGGTGCTCCCCCTAAGGAAACAGTACAAAAAACCCTATCCTCTTAGTGCCACTCACACACCACAGGAAAAAGCAGCAAGCAACTTAAAGAAGATGACTTCCCATTAGTTTAAAAACTTAGGTGCTCAACAAGTACATATATGTGTCAGACTTAGCAGACTCAGACTTTAGAAACCAAGTGAGCATTGTAGTGTAGAAGACTAAAGCTTTATTTTGGATTTCCAAACAGAGGTTTGCCAGAGACATGGTAGTGCCAAATCTGAATTGTCCCTAAAGTCATCCAACTTTAAGGGTTCTCTTTCCAGCCCCCCGCCCCATCTCAGCCTGCAGTCTGCGCGCTTTCAACCACATCAAAGGGTTCTTTAAACTTGCTGCATTTCCTCTAACTCCCCATCTCCCATATCAATCCACCTCCCTAAGGAAAGAAGGTGTTGTCATGTTTAACATCAAAGTCTATCCTCAATAAATCAACAGAGCCATAAACTATAACTCTCCCCTGCCATTGTCCATCTGTCCCCGGTTTGCATTTATTCAGACTACAGCCCTCTCTTTCCAGATCTCTCTTTATTCCCCTGAAGTGCTATTTTACTATGTCATTTATCCCCATTTCTTTATATTCATTATTATGACAGATCCATAAACTTTCTATTTCCTCATATTCTTTATCATGACAGATTCATTAACATATGAACATGCCAATATGTAATAAGTTTGCACAGAAGAGGCAGGCACAGCTCCACCATGCCTAGTCCCAGAAGCAGATTAAAGACCCTCCCTCCATCTTAACTGCTACCATCCTGGCCTCGGAGGGAGAGAAGAACCACAGTATCTGCTGGACTTGACCCCCTTCCCACTGCCATTCCCTTCTCCTTTTGTGTCATGTTTATTTAGATTGTAAACCTGGGGGAAGGAAACTGTCAAATTAACCATCTCTAAGCTGCTCTGAGAGCCTCTGTGGCTGAAGAGCAGGGCATAAATGCTCTAAATTAAATAAATTAATAAACAAACATTCATATCAAATCATGATATGCTTCTAGTCAAGAAGTATGGAACATGTGATCCTCCAGATGTTTTACTGTAGCGCCCATAATCTTTCGACTCTTATGCTGGCTAGATTGCAATACATCAACATCTGAAGGGCCATCTTTTTAGCCTATCCAATTAAATATTTCTAAAGTCAAAGAGAAATTGAAAGTGCAGCCCCATCACCTAACATGTTCAACAAACTCAATCCTCCTCATCTTTCAGAATCAACATGTTATGCATGCACATATGCACATACATATCCATAAGCAGATATGAGTGTTCCATTCTTGTGGACCCTTAGTATTATTCACAGCTGATAAAACACGTATCCCAAACTAAGGGATATGGGATGTGCAACTGTTCGACATATGACGGCTACATGGTGTGCCATACTTGTTCTGACCCTTTTCATAGACTCCTTCAGGAACAGCTGCCATTTGGGGATGCCTGAGATCTCAAAGGGCTGTTCAGCTGCTCCAGCTACCTCCATCTGTTTGCCTTTTCCCCAAGATAAAAAATGTTCCATCTGTCCAATGTACTTCAGGTAAAACATTCCCAACCTGAGCTGCCATCCAATCCAATATACACCCAGTGTCAATTTCTTACAACATTTTCAGCATTCACAATTTTGACCTCTCCCCTTTCATTCAGTTATTCATACTTGCCTATATTCATGATCAGAGCAACTGAAAGTGTTTAATATTCAGCAGTGGGATTTCTAATAATTTTCTAACTCAGCTAATATTTTTACTTGAAAACACGTCACTTCATTGTCTAAGCATTCTTCTTGGTTTTCTGGCAATTCCTTTCATGCTTGATAAGGAAGCTGAACTACACCTTTGCTTGGCTGATCTTGTCATATCGCTGTTGTGATTAAATGCTATGAACAGCCATTCTTTACAACAGTGAAAGCTTATTAGAGAATCAGTGGGACAGTGAAATGATACTATTGACAATGACAGCTCACGTTCTTTAGGAAACTAAATGCATCACATTTAGGCCAGAACATAGATGTGAACTGTGTTGCTTGCAATCATATCAGATATGGTTTTTAAAAATTTTAATCAGGTGGATTTTGAACAGGATTACAGTGCCTGGAGAATGAAGGTTTAAGCCTTTCCTCCTCAGCTACAGTCCCAACAAAAGTCTCCTTCACAAACCCCATGGACTGTAGTCAGTAGTGGCGATAGGGCTGAGGACACAGTGAAGAAATAAAGATGTGTAAAGATTATTCTATTTCTCTTACCTCTCAGAACTGTTCATACTCTGGATATCAGCATCTGAGCTAATGCTTCTTCCATCTTCTGCTTTCACATTTGCAATTTCTCCTTTAGAAATTCCCTTGAAAACTTTTTTGCTGAGCAAAGATTTAAAAATAAACATTATTATGCAGATTCCTTAAAGGCAAAATATATGAGATCATCTTTACATGTAATTTATTAACTATCAAACCATTAAATATTCTCTAGGACCCGTAGAAGACACTGCCCGGGTCTTTTCATTTTCTTGAAGTAACATTCTTCATGATGAAATGAGACAATGGTGCATGACCTTCAGAACCATTGGCCCATTTGTCTCACACATTACTAAGCAATATTATGAAAGAAGGTACTAGAGACAGAGCTGCCATGAGGACACGACTGCATCTCCAATGATTTAGGAATATATGAGCCTGGATGAACCAGCCCATGGGCATATCTAGGCATCTAATTTCGAACAGTAACCACCTGTCTCTTAGAAGCTCACAAGAAGAAAACTAGCACTCTCCTACTACTGATTCCCAGCAACTGGTAGTCAGAGCACTGTTGCCTCTGACCTCAGGAATAATATACCCATAATTATTAGAAGACATTCACAGACTTATTCTGCACAAATTTGCCCAAGTCCTTTTTAAAGCCATCTGTGTCTTTAAAAAAGTCAACTAATTAACCATGCTAAGAGGTACAATTAATCATGTTAAGAGGTGCAAGGTTTTGTTGTCCTGAGTATCTTGTTGATCAGTTTTACTGTACAACACCCCCTCCCTCCACAACTTTTTAGTATTGTGAGAAATGGGGAAATAATACTTTAAAAAAACCCAACAACAATTGCTTATTGTGTGATGCAGATCAGCAAGAGAGTGAAAACATTTTATTTTTAAGCTGAGCAATTTGTATGGGGAAGTAGTGGAGAAGAATAAAATCAAGCCTTAAAATGCCACTGTGTCCTTTATGGAGCAGAATGTACGTTCTGAAATGTTCTTTTAAAATGCTCAAAATATAAGTAAATCTAATTGTAAATCCTTAGTGGACTAAGAAAGCACTAACAGTTAACCCCTTTCTGTACTTATACATATTACCTCCATGCTTGTAAAACACATGCTTCAGTAACAATAAAAGCAGTCCTTTTTTTCTTGAGGTTTTACATTCAAGTGATTGACTATGCTGGAGTCAGTATCAGATATCTATCACATATTATAAAATGATGCCTTACCCAATTTTTCTGGGCCCAGTGAATACTAATTTTGTCCCACTGGAGAGGGAAGCTAACATATCTTGCTTTGAGGTGTCCTCTGAGCTCCCTGGCAAATCATCTTTGGTTTTGCCCCCTTCTACCTGTTCAGAAGAAGTATCTTTAAAAGAAAAGAAAGGCACTTTTACAAACAGTAAAAGGAATTCAAATGCACAATTATCAGGTAATTCAACGTTAAGCCAACTGACCCCACTCTAAAATGAGCACAGCAGGCCAGCTAACTCTTCACAACACCTAGCAGGGGTGCAGCAAAGCACTTTTTGTTCTGCAGCCCACCAGCTGCCACAGCATTTCTTTGTTAAGGTAGTTATACCCCACCTTTTAAAGTAAAACTCCTGCAACAGCTAGCATGAGCAAAGCAATGAGGGGGTAATAAAGGCAAGGGAAAAAAGGGCAACCGTCCCCAAAGCAACTGCACATAAGAAACGCAACCCAGATACTTAAAAAAAATCAAAGGCCTGCTACAAGATAAAACTGGTAACAATTCTTCCTCAAGACAGAGGCAGAACAACAGACTTCAGAGGTAAGAAACGTGTGGCTCAGCAGATGTTGGATTATATCACAC